AATCACGAAAGGAATCCCAGACAGCTTTAGGGTAGTAGTAAGTGGTGCGATGATAAGGTGAGCCTAAAAAAGAAGTACGAGAAGAACGATTTATAGAGATCATTGCATGGTCAGAACCACCTAAGGGAGAAAAGGGAGAAACTAAACATAAGCTAGGGTCAGAGAAAAGACATAAGTCAAGGAGTTGTCAGGAAAATAAGTCACAAAGTTAACTATCTGAGTAAGAAATTGAGAAACACAGAAGTTTAGTGCCAGCAGGATACCTTAGGCTATATTGCCAGCAGGATCAGTGGTGTTAGAGCCAAGCCATTTAGTGTGATGGGCATTAAAGTCACCAACAACAACAATATTAACAAAGGGGTAAAGAGAGAGTATGGTCAATTTGATCAGAGATAACATCTAAAAGAGTGCAATCATGGGAAGAAAGAGAACGATAAAGAACAAAGAGAAATTTGATAGAGTAAAGAGGTGCTAGGCGAAAGCACATAAAAGAATGGTCAAAGGATTCGAACCTGATTTCACGACAAATAGGGGAATTAATGCGTATGTATACCCCTAAACCTAGCATGTGACTATTGGAGTCTTTACGAATCAAAGGATAGTACCCATCAACACTGATATCTGAAGAAGGAATTGCAGAACTTAAATTTGTTTCACTGAGTGCAAGCAAGTCTGGTGAATTTTGCAGGAGGTAAGACTCAACTGATGGAAAGTTGCTTCGTAGACCGCGAATATTTGTAAAAGATATATTAAAATATTTAGGTGGTGGGGATGGTTTTTTAGGTGTTAAATTTTTGGTTACTTTGGTCATGATTTGGGCTTAATGAGAACTTGACTCATGCATAGATAGAGCACAGCCTCCTAATCAATGAGCTTTGCAGTTGTCTCAGTCCTGTTAATTAATCCTAAGCCGTGACATAGGGCTCCTTATGTGGCCTTGACAATGCACACCAAAAGCATTAACAGGGACACCATCCATGCGCAACATGGCACTGTTAATACTCTGATATTTTGCAGCTGTTGATGGAATCAGCCTTTCTGAGAGCTACCACAGAGTTCGGGAAACCTTACTACCAGCCGGCCTCAGAACCATTAAACTGAGTTTTAGAGCTCTACCCTCATATGAAGATAACAGGAAGAGTTGCATAGCCATTATCAAGGAGGCATAAGCAAAATTCTATGAGTAGAGTCAAGGAGATCCAGCATTCATCATCATAGGCAGGAAACAATGTAACACAGGTTACATCTACGCCAGCCTAATAGATGAAGAAGGGGTTCGAGGCTGGTTAGAAGAATTTTTCTGCTTACCCCTAAAGTCTTTGCCTAGGAGGCCTTCTACAAGACATTAGCAGGATGCAGTTAACATCTGCCCAAGATGAATATTTTTATTGAGACACCATCTCTATCCTTTACTCAACCAAGAGCCCCAAAGCAGGGGATGTTTAGTTGGATGCAGTTAACATCTGCCCAAGATAAGTGTTTTTATCGAGACACCATCTCTAGCCTTTACTCAACCAAGAGCCCCAAGGCAGGGGAATTTTTAGTCAGAGTTTATTTCTCCTAGCCTTTGCATAAGAAGAGCACACTCTGCATAGCAGCAGGGCTTGTGGCAGGTTGTACTGGGTTACGTGATTTCAGTAGCAAGAATGATCTCGATTATCCTGACCTGACCTGGAGTAGTTAAAAGGAGCTACTTTTCGCAACAGTATTTTGAGAAAACCATGCATGACATTTTGGAAGTGCATTAGGAAAAACACTGCATATAACAAAATACAGGAGTCTAAGGTGAGTGTACGTTTTGTAGTTGGAGTAAGTAGTTAGTTACTGAGCTCACGCTGCATTAGAGTATAAACAGAACACAAACAAACATAAATCAACTTACGGGTGAGTCAACACCGCGCCAGAGGTTCAGACAGAACACAGACATACATAAAAAACATAAAGTAACTTACAGGTGAGCGAACACCGCGCCAGAGTTTCAGACAGAACACAAACATACATAAAAAAACATAAAAAACATAAACATAAACATAAACATAAAGTAACTTACGGTTGAGCGAACACCGCGCTAGAGGTTCAGACAGAACACAGACATACATAAAGAACATAAAGCAACTTACGGGTGAGCGAACATCGCGCCAGAGGTTCAGACATAACACAAACATACAAATAACGTAGATTACAGGTGAGCTAATACAGCAACTAAGGCACCTCCAACTATATGGGAAAAAAAATATATATATAGTATATATATATATATATATATATATATATATATATATATATATATATATATATATATATATATATATATATATATATATATATATATATATATATATATATATATATATATATATATATATATATATATATATATATATATATAGGCATGACTGATATAATATAGTACTGATGACAGGAAAAACACTCCTTCCATCCTTTGCTTAGATAACAAATCCTGCAAGGCAGCAGAACATCCCAGTAAGCACAAGACGCATTTTAGACACTTATAGACGTCTAAAACTAGTCTAGATAAAGACGCACTTTTATAGACGTTTTGAAGACATCTTTTAGACGTCTTTTACAAATGCGTTTTTAAAATCACGTTTAAAAGGCGTCTTTTTAAAAGATAAAAAGACGTCTAGAAGACGTCAATTTTTAAGACATCTTCTAGACGTCTTTTATAAAGGCGTTTTTAAAATGACGTTTAAAATGCGTCTTTTTAAAGTTTAAAAAGACGTTTAAAAGACGCATAATAAATAGTCTAAAAGACGCATTAAAAGACGTCTAGATCAAGACTAAAAGACGTCTTTTGTGAGACCTGTTTATAAATATGTCATTATGACTTTTTTTTTGACGGCTTTGTCATTACGCGTTAAGTAGATGTCGTATATTCAAAGTAAAAACATAGTTTTTATTATTTTCAATAATTTGTTTAAGATTTAAGTGTAAATTACTTTAAATTAAATTACTTTTTTACACAATTGCTAAAATTGTTGTCACAGGAATCACTAAAATAATTGCTATAATATTAATATATCTTTTTTTTATTAATAATTATTTTGCTTTTTTAATAGATAGTTGACTTATCATGATAATAAGTGAAAATGGCAAGAATAATATATAAGTTAAATATCAGTATTTTTAGTTTTTATACACCCACAAGCCATATAATAATTTAAGTATGCGGTCAAAAATTAGCTAGCAACACGTATGTTAAATTTTATTATAGCTTAAGGTAAGTTATAAATGTTTTAAATACTGTTTTGATATATATTTGTTGTTGTTATATATTATTTGCTTGATGCATCAACCGTTTCTTGTGATTACAGCAATATTATTTTGATTGCTGGCTCAAATGTATATCTTGTATATACGAAATTATAACAATATATGATTTTATAAATACAATGAATATATACCACATACTACGCGAAAATGTTACGTCATGTACTTAAATTTATTTTGAAAAAAACGTCTAAAATACGTCTAAAACGCGTTTTTATAAAGCCGTCTTCATTTAGACGTCTTTTAGCCTTATGATCTAGACGTCTACAAGTGCGCCTTTTAGACCTTCTTAAAGACATCTTTAAAACGTCTTTTAAACGTCTTTGTGCTTACTGGGATGGAACAGGTTGCACTGGGTTACATGTTACCAGTAGCACGATGATCATGAAGACCATACTCCTGACCTGACACTAAAATTTGACACTAATTTGATCTCTCTTCTATAACAGCCTTAGGCTAGCAGTGGCTTATGGATTTAAATTCTAGACTTGAAATCCACAATTTTTTTTAGGCAACAAAGCTCATTTATTTTCTGCAAAGGAATATTGCAATATTGTTAGAATTCCTATATTGACAAATAACAACCCTCTTACTCTCAGACAAAGTCTAAAAGCTACAAATACTATCATGGTCAATGCTCTTCTTACTTGGCTTCTTATTCAACAAGCTGCATCCTTTTACTGTATCTGTCCCTTCATGCTATAAAAACCTTTTATAAATCCAGTTATTTTGATGTGCAACTCTTACCCAACTTCATGTTTTTCTTTTTTTTATACAAGTTTAGTTGCGTCATTTTTATAACGTCTATTAGTAACGTTTTTTCAACGTTACGCTACAACGTTTAATCAACAACTCTTTTACAACGTTACATATTTTTGCAAAATCGATTACTTTGTCAACGATTCCGCAACATCTTTTGCGACCGGTTTTCAACGTTGATTCAACGCAGACATGTTTGCTGGGAATGGTCAAGTGACTTGGGTTACGAAACCCACCACCGCTATGTTTTCATTTTTCAAAATAAATTAAAAAAATTCAAAATCTTACGAATCCTTTATGATACCCTACAGGATAATCACAAGATTTCTTATGATCTTATAGGGTTTACAAGACAATTAAAATCTTACGAATCCTTTAAGATACCATTTGGTTAATCACAGGATTTCTTATGGTCCTATAGGGTTTGAAAGACAAATAAAATCTTACAAATCCTGTAAGATATCCTGTAGGATAGTATAAAATTATATGCGATGCTATAAGACTCATAAGTTGTCTGTAAGATTGTCGACTAGTGTTGTAATAATAAAAAGGACAATTTGTTTTTAAGAGAGACCCAGCCAACATTGACATACGGGTACCGTACGGGGCCTATACGGGTCGTCATTTGGGTCCCGTATGGGAAAACCAACGGTATCCCGCCGGATCTTGACCGCGGTTTCCATATGGGACCAATATGGGTTAGCTCGCCGGGTATCCCGTATGGGTCCCAGTCAAATCCCGTATTTTAAAATTGTAAGCGACCCATTTGGGTTTGCAAATGGGACCCATATGGTAAACCCATCGGGAACCCGCCGGATCATAGCCGCGGTTTTCTTCTGGGGCCCATATGGGTATGCCCGCCGGGTATCCCGTGAGGGTCTAACAAGGTTTACCCATTGCAAATCTTGCAAAACTACGTTTAAATGTTTAAAATTTACAGAAAAAGTAAATTTATATATAAGTTGATTGGTTTATTTCAAAAAAAATAGTAATTAAAAATACACTGTCAAAATTAAGCAAACTTTTGAACGATTCTTTAATCATGCATCAAATGCTTTCACGTTTATCTCGGGAATCGGAAGCTTTTCCATTATTGTTAAAACGACTTCTTTGAAAACCTCTTTACACAATATCTCGTTTCAATATGAACTGTAAAAAATTAAGTTTAACTGTTAGTTTTAAATTTTATTGGTAACACATACATTAATTTTAATGTTATAAAACTCTTACAATTTCTCCCAACTCTTTTCAGATAAAAAATGTAACTTTCACCATCAAAGGTACTTGTAATAGATAAGCACATGCTTATGATTCATATAATAAATTGATAACATTCCTTTAGTTACTGATAAATAAATTATATAAAATTATTAAATAAATATATTTTTTTGTTTATATTGTATATAATTTGATAAATATTGTATATACTTCATATACAGTGCCATGGCTACTAGACACAAGCCCCGCATTCCAAATAAAAACCTGTCATAAGGGCCCCAAACTTCCTAAAAACTTTTCCAATAGATAAACAAAATCTAAATAAAAATCCTAAAAAAAAAAAAAATCCTTACATTTGTAAAAAAGCCCCAAAATTTGCAAATGAGCCCCCTAGACAAACATTTTTTAATTGACCTGAAAAAGTTTTGTATTTGAAAGAGGGACATCTATCAAGTACCTAAAATTTAACTGTATTATTTCCTATATGTGCTAATGAATGGACATTGTACACTAGTTGATCCTTATGATAAAGTTCACATATAAAGATAAGTAGCTGAAAAGCAAAATTAACATATTTTTCCAACAAAATGAAACATTATGAAAGTAGAACTACAACTGAAAAATCTAAAAAACTGAATACATTTTTGGCTAAACCATTCCCTTTAAACAACTGGTCCAGTGTTTACTATAAATAGTCTAAGCTCAGTTGTTTTCCATTTTGTAATATCTAATTAAGACCTTGATTTTCTATAAAAATTTCTTGGAATGTAATGACGTATCTGGAACAATCTGCTAGATTAAGTATTGACTGTAATCTGAGACAATTTACAACATTTGGGCAATTTGACCATAAGTTGAGAAATCTTCGCATTACCCCTAAGCATTAAGTCTAAAGGAAACTTTGTCACCATATCAAAATTTAATTCAATTTAACACACCACTAAGATGTTCAGAAATCTTTTAATGACAAAAAATCTGAATCAGTGCTTAAAATTAGTGAAATATGTAGGAGAATTATCTTGCCACACCACTCTCCTTTCTAAGCACAACATTCACATCAGTTATAACCATTGTGTCCTTTAATACACTTTACAAAAGCTCTAGCTGGTGGATCACATGTGATAACAGCAAGATTGATTTCAAACTAAATATTTTCATAGATAAAACCATCTTTTGCAAGAAATTTGAAATCTACCAAAAAACTATGTAGACAATTAAGGTGACCTGCTATTCTCATTTACTGAGTTTTTTTACTCTTTTTTCACAAACCGTACTTTTTTCAAATCCTGTACTCTGAAAGTACTCATTTGTATTTCTAAAACATTTTTTTAAATATTATTTCATTTCAATTTTATTAATTAAATATTTAAAATTATTTTGACAGTGATTTGAATTTCATGCGCACATATTGCTAGCCGTTTCCAGCACGTCAGAGGCAAACATGGTCAACAGAGTCAGCATGGCAAACACCAGATACAAGTTTGACAGTGATTTAAATTTTGAACGCACATATGGCTGCCATTTTCAACACAATTGAGAGGCTGTATTATGAACCTGGAGAGATAGATACTACAGACCTCTTTTTCTAACAATGTCAAAATTACATTTGTGAAAAGAGATGGATCCAACATTTGCATATGTTATCCCCAGGCTGATCTTTGATGTGCAGTATGTACGCCATGCTTGACAGTCTTGACGCATGCATAGCATGTACAGCAAAGTTTTTATCCATTTATTTAATTAAATAAAAAGATAAAAAAAACCTTACTGTACATACTACGCATGCGCTTATGGTTAATTAACCATAAAATCAAAAATTACAAACTTAATTATATTTTACAAATATATGTTTGGCGTCACTCGTATTAAAAACAAGTCAATGGAGCAACACCTTTATAAAATAAACAAATAAAATAAAAAATAATAAGAAAGAAAGAAAACTACATTAATACAAGTAATAAAAAAAGAAGTATAAGAAACAATACTATTTAAAATATAAGAGTAACGCTAAGAAAAATGAAAAAAAAAGAGAAAATGAACCGATGAGATGAGTAAGAAAATATGTAAGAGAAAACAAAAACTTAATCACATAAATTCAGAAGGATAAAGTGACAGAAAAATTTTTTTGCACAAAAATATAAACAAACAAATTAAAGGCAAATTTAAATAAAAAAATATATACATACACTACTATATACAATATTAAAGGCTATATTAAAGCCTTTAATAAAACTGACCGCTTTGGAAGATTCCAATGCCGGAAAAAAAAAAAAAATTTAATAGAAGTTAAAAATTTTTATAAAATTTGCTATGAATATATCGAAGAATGGATAATGAACTTTAGAGCATTGAATTGTTTTAAATGGACCCTTATAAATAGTAAAATTTAATGAAAAAAAGTTTCTTCAGCAGTCGAATTTGTAATAAAGGAAGTAAAAGATTTTGTTATTAAAGAAATCGGAAGATTAAATTTATTTTTAAATCAAGAAAAATTGAAGAAATGGAACAATGAGAAAATAGAACTTGAAATAAGATGGGTAGAAATCTTTTGGCATTTTAGAGTAGAACATATGCCACATGAAAATTTAAAAGTTTTAACAGAAATTTCTTTATGTTGCTGCAGTTGAAAAGGTATTTTCACTAAGGAATGATAATTGGAGCCGTGAGAAGTTGCAGCTTTCTGTAAAAACATTATATGATGTCTTAACAGTCAAATTTAATATGAAATTTAATATGTTCGGATGCAGCAATATTATTAGTCGAACATCCTCATCTAGCAAAAAAAATCAACTCTGACAAAAAATATGTTTTAAAAAAAAAATAAAGATTTTTATCGTTTTATCTTCCCTTATTTTTTACCTATGAAATACTAGCAAAGTGTACTCTTTTTGAACAAAAGATAGTTGGTCCCCTTAAGATAATTAAAAATGGAATTAGATTTTTGGGCACCACTTTTTAAACAAATTTCTAAAAACATAATTTGGGTCCCCTAGTATTGTAAGTCCTAGGCCAAGGCTCTGATGGCAGCATTTATAAATAGCAACAACTTTTGGCAAATTTTATTTAAAATTTACATGTATGTTTAAAATTTGTCACTATTTTAGATTTTCATTGATATAAATTCCTATATAAAAATATATTTTATATAAAATATTTATAGAGTATTATTCTCTTTTACTATCAGCTATCAAGATGATTTAACTGACTTGATCAGCTTCAGCATTAATCTGAAGCTAATGAGTTTATAGCTGAAGCTGAAATATCAGCTGCAACCCCTACTTTATAGAAAACATAGTTAATGTGATGTATATACATTATAATAATAAATGTGTTTTTTTTTATACTCAATTACTTATTTTTTTATTTTATGATACATTTAAAAAATTTTTTTTACCACATGTTTTTTTATAATATTTAATAATTAGGAAATACTGACTTTTGCCGAATATTCTTTAGATAAAAATAATATTTACTTACATTACTCTAATCGAGGTTATAAACAACGGTAATATATACTCAAGTTATTATATTTGTCCCCCAAATGTAGTTCTATTATACATAAGTCTCTCACTAATCCTAATAATAAAAAGTTATTGCCATTATTACTATAATTATATTTACTAACCTGTTATTATTAATATTTATCAAAAACACATTCTGGTTGTTGAAGTCACTTTTACTCATATCAGTATGCAAATATTGTCAACAGTGAGAGTGCACCATGCAGAAATATTCTTTAACATGCTGCAAAACACAAGATATACATAAGATACATATCATATAAGACCTATTGCCTGTAACTTAACATTTTATATTGTTTAACTTACTGTAACTCAATTATAACAAATAAGCATATGGCTATAATCTATATAATGACTAACATCTTTTTTTAGTTATTGTTATTTATGTAAAAGTTATTAAGTTAAATTAAAGTTTTATAACTAAAGTTTGAATGCAAAAGTTTATATCAATAAAAAATTTTATCAGTATTATAAACATAATTATTATATTACAAGTATTTACAAGTATAGGTATTGTAAGTATAAGTTATTATTATGCATATTATGAAATTATTGTTTATATTGCAAGTGTACAATTTTAAATCAAAATCAAAAAATATCAATGATTAAAAAATGAGGTTGATGCATAACAATAAAACCATATTTTTGCATTTAAACATGTAATTATATCTTTATTTATATCTGACGGTGGGTAAACTTCGTTAACATAAGTCATTTTGCTTGCATAAAATATAGAAAAAACAATGGAAAAGAGTGGATCTGTAAAAACGATTTAAAAGCTTTTAATTCCCTAAATATAACCTATCCATTACATTCTATTCGACTGTTTGCTCTTTTTAAATGTTTCTGACTAAACTAATATTTTGATTAAACTCAAACCATTTATTATCTAATTATATCACTAGCTGCTAGTTTGCACTGTTTGCATTTTTAAAATGATCAAAATATAAAGTTTGTTTCTGCTAGTGACTAGCAGAAACAAAACTTTATATTTTGATCATTTTAAAAATGCAAACAGTGTCTCAATGGAACATTTACTACATGTTTAATAGTTTCTGGAACATATGTTCAACAAATATGTTGAACTTTGTAAATTCATTTAAAAAATAGTATATATGTATATATATGTATATATAAAAATTCTTTTATAATGATAATAAATAAATGAAATTTTTAAACAACGTCTTTTTAACTGAGTTTTACAGTGACAAAACACATCAAAAAAAAAATCTTTTTAATTACAATGTAAATATAATGTATTCAAAAAATGCAATGCATAAAAGTAAAATTTTCAATCTTATTTGACGCACAATACGAATTAAAAATGGCAACCATCGATATGATTTTTTTTAAACCTTTTGGAAACCTTATGGGAAACCCGTCAAATCCCCAGGTTTTTCGGCCCTGATAAAAACCAGATAAAACCCTAAAGAGCAAATATGCTTGATTTTATTACCATATGGGACCCGTCTGGAAACCAAAACACTTACCCGTCAAAATCCCGTTTCCGTAAGCCCAGACAAAAACCATACGGTACCCGTCTGTCAATGTTGGCTGGGTATGCTTGATTTTATTACCATATGGGACCCGTCTGGAAAACAAAACACTTACCCGTCAAAATCCCGTTTCCGTATGCCCAGACAAAAACCATACGGTACCCGTCTGTCAATGTTGGCTGGGGATGTTCTTATAAAAAAGATTAAAATGTTGAAAAATGTAGAGTAGAATGAGGTTGACTTAAAACTGAAGATAAGTAATAAAAGCTTCCAAACTTTTACTCCAAAAGCAATATAAGCCTCCAAGATGCACTTTTTGCTCACACATTATGGATATATACACATCTGTTTGCTTCTTCAGTTTAGATGCTGGCATACAATATCTTTTCATTACTATATAAACTTTAGTATTTATATGGTGTAGTATTTGCCAAAAGAGAAGATGATCAGATGGATGTGTGGTGTGACTCTAACAAGACATAAAAAACAGGCATAATCTTAGACAGATTTTTTTTAGAAAAGGTTAAAGTAATTTAGGTTTCAACATTTAAAGTGGTAGCAACTTGAGTATAAAATGGTTGTGGTAGAAGTAAGAAATTTTGAAGAGTTTACCTTACATATTGTATAAATGAGCTTTAGTTAGGAATAAAAGTGTACAAGATTGTTTATATTAGAAAAACAGCTTAAAAGAGGAAATATAATGCCTAATGGTGATAATGATGATAATAAAGATATTGATGATGATCATGAACATGACGATGATGATGATGATTGTCATCACCATCAAAATTTTTCTTATCATTGTCAAGCTTTTTGCTTTTATGCTGTTGATAATGATGATGATAATGATGATTATGATGATCATGTTTACCACATCCTTGCAAAAATCCTTGCAAAATCGACTGCTTTAACAACGTTACAGTAACGCTTTTCAAGTAACTTTTTTTCAACGTTAAATTGCGACGCTAATGCAATGCTTTTCAAGTATTACTTTTTCAACGTTTAGTTGCGACATTTTTGTAACGTTATTTAGTAACGTTTTTTTAACGTTACGCTACAATGTTTAATCAATGACTCTTCAACAACGTTACATATCTTTGCAAAATCGATTATTTTGTCAACGTGTCCGCAACATCTTTTGCGACTGTTTTTCAACGTTGATTCAACGCTGAGATGTTTGATGGGGATGCATTTAATGAAAGTCAAATTTAAAACTAAAATAGTAACAATTCCATACATAATTTAACAAATTTCCACACATAAATTAATAAAATAAAACTTACTTTACTAGGTGTAACTATAAATCATCAATTTAAATCATATTATGTACTTCAATTATGTACTTAAAACCATATCATTCCTCAATCTTTGATCCACCAGAAATTTGCTAAATAAACTTACACTGAAAATCAAACTACAAACAAGCCAAAAAATTTAGACAATTATTGAAGTCAGTTCTGACCAATAGTTAATATTAGGTTTCAAAATATTAAAATTTTGGTTATAAAAAATAAGAATAGAATTATTTAAACCTATAATAAATAAATGCAAAAAAGCGAAGAAATACAATATTTTTGAAAAATAATAATGTATTTTAAATAAGTATCATATATTTACAAAAGTCATTACACATCATGATGTAATGGTAATAAAACGCATCCTTTTTCAGTTTTGAGACACATGGCTTTTCGTTTTAATCTCGATTTCTCCACTAATTGCCGTTTTACTCTAAGTCTTTCAAAGCGGAAAAAATAAATGGTTAACAAACTGGATTCACATGGTATTGTAAAGAAATTGTCTAAGCAAGCTTTTTCAACAACATCACACACATAACATAAACCCTTTTCTTCCTTTATAAAAACGCACTTGCCATTATTTAGTAAAAATTAAGAATCCCTTGCATTTTTTGAAGAAATAACAGTGTATTGATATTTACTTAAATATTTTTCAAATGTTTTCTCTAAATTAGAAACTCGTTTGAAAACTTGCAATATTGGGTTTTTAGCGTTATGTATAAAACTTTTTAAAACTCGCAAATGATTTTTCGAAAGGGAAACACGATAATGAATCTAAACATTTATCAAAGTTAATAACATCATCACATAAATGAACTAAGTTATGCACATTATATACAACAAACTCTTTCCCATATATTTCTTCAGATTTTAAAACAAAATGTATAAAATGCTCTTTTGCATAATTCTAATGTGCTTTTCTATCTTCATCCTCTGAATTAATCGAAATAGATATTGCAACATGAAGTGTCATAAAATGATCATATTGTAGCTTCGAGAATATTTTTTTCAGCACTAAAGAACCAGTAAATAATAGAAACTGCCTAAACTCAATAGCTTTGTAATGAGGGAGATCTTTTAATGTCCTTGGATGCCTTGCAAACTCGCTTGGAAGTGTACCTTTTAATTGCTCTAGGTTTGATGAGACTTGTTCTTTTTGCTTTTGAGATATTTTACAGCTGCTTGGTCCTTCTTTTGTTACAAATAGCAAAATTCGTTTGACCACACCTAAACATACCAAATGCATGTAGTCCAATGCAAATTGATTTATGCATTTTACTCCTGCAGATATCAAAGGACTTTGCTTTAATTGATGTTCTGGATAGATGTAGGCATTAAAGTTCTCATCTAAACGTAAGGTATAATAATATTCTGAAAATAGCATTCTTCTGTATTCATAAATTTATTTTTGTGACACATCGCTCACACCCAAAGTAACCATTATGAGATTTCACACATTTTAAAAGCTGCCTAGCAGGAGCATCATAAATAAAAGCCATAAGTTCAAAACTAAAAAATTTATCATTATAGAATATGCCTTCCGATTTCAACAATTGCATTTCATTAATAAAATCACTCAGGTAGTCTTCCACACTATCTGGTTTTCCAGATCCACAAAATAATGCTATAATAAAAAGTTGTAGATTTTCAAACATACCTCGAATTGTCCACAATTGAGTAGCTGAAGATTTAAAAAGCTGACCACCATCAATATTAACTTTTAGTTTAATTTTTTCAAGTTTTTGACAAATAAAATTTGCTAATCTCTGTATTATATGACATTTAATACCAAAATATTTGTAAGTTCCTCCACGTTTATACATATAACTAATAATAGCTCGGGTTCCTAACAAAGTTCTTGAATCTTTTGGTAACGTATGACCGCATTCCCAAAGTAGATTTAATAAGTCATTAACTGCATGTTAGGTACACTTATGTTTAACAGCCAAATTTGCTAGATTTTCTGACATAACTATATCAAACTGTTCATCCTCATCACTTTTACTATCATCTGAAAAAGATAGTTCACTATCAGAAATAGTATTTTCAGAAGAACCTTGATAAGAATCTACAAATGAACTACTTTGAATAGGTTGGTTTGCGATATTATTTGGGCTACATCTAGAGGAAGAGCATTCACTACTTCTTGAAAGCATAACTTCACTACTATCAGAAGTCATTATAAGTTTTTTAACATCACTTTCTATCTGTCTATATCTTTTATAGTAATTGCTTTTGTAAATTCATTAATATTTTATTCTAATTAATGCTGCAAAAATAATTACAATATTTAAAACATAAATATGTATATATACAATATTTAAAACATAAACATATATATATATATATATATATATATATATATATATATATAT